ACCCAAAACCCTATAAACTCCTAACCCTCTAAATCCCTTTACCCTCTAAACTCCTTTACCCTTAAACCCCTTTACCCTGAAAACCCTAACCCTCTAAAACCCTGTACCCCAAATAGCCCAATCCTCTAAACACCTAACCCTCTAAACCCCAACCCTCTAAACCCCTAACTCTCGAATCCCCTCAACCCCTAAACCCTATAACCCTCGAAATACTTAAACCTCTAAACCCCTTATCTCTGAAATAACCCGAAACCTCTAAACCCTTAACTTTATAAATCCCTAACCCTCTAAACCCCTTTGTGTGGAATGTGGTGTGGGTGGGATCATGGGGTGGGTGCAGGGTGTGTGTGGTGTGCGGTGGGTGGTGGGGTATCACAGGGGGGTGAATGGGTGCAGGGTGTGTGTGGTGGGTATGGTGATAGTGGTCGTGGTTCACAACGATCCGTGACCACCACCACCACCACCTCTACTGTGTGGTGGACCGGCCACCACACAGCAGCACGCGTCGGAGGAGTGAACGGATGGTTCTCCCTATGCGGGCCAGACTCCCTCGCTTCCTCTTCTCCTCTTGCATCACCTGATCCTCTTTCCTTGTCATCTCCTTCTCCACCATCTTCTCCACCAATGTCTCCTCCACCTGCACCACCATCTCCTCCTCCTGCTCCTTCGTCCATACCTCCTCTGTTTCCCCCCTCATCTCTTCTTCCTGCACCACCAGCTCCTCCACCAGGGTCTCCTCCTCCTGCACCACCAGCTCCTCCACCAGGGTCTCCTCCTCCTGCACCACCACTTCCTCCCACCAGGGTCTCCTCCTCCTGCACCAACATCTCCTCCACCAGGGTCCTCCTCCTCCTGCACCACCACTTCCTCCACCGGAGTCTCCTCCTCCTGCACCACAGCTCTTCCACCAGGGTCTCCTCCTCCTGCACCACCAGCTCTTCCACCAGGGTCGCTCTTCTTCCTGCGCAACAGCTCTTCCCACAGGGTCTCCTCCTCCTGTACCACACCAGCTCTTCCACCAGGGTCCTCCTCCTCCTGCACCAACCAGCTCCTCCAAACCAGGGTCTCCTCCTCACTGCACCACCAGCTCTTCCACCAGGGTCTCCTCCTCCTTGCAACACCAGCTCTTCACCAGGGGTCTCCTCCTCCTGCACCACAGCTCACTCCACCAGGGTCTCCTCCTCCTGCAACCACCAGCTCCTCCACCAGGGTCTCCTCCTCCTGAACCAACAGCTCCTCCACCAGAGTCCTCCTCTTCCTCCACAACAACCGTCAGCCATTTAGAGGCCTGGGTGAGCGCGGAGGATGGGGGCAGCGCCGGCTCCGCTCTGTAAAGAGATGCGCACGACACCGTTCCAACTTCCTGCTACAGCAGAGATCGCACTCCCCCCCCCCCACCATCGTGCGGAGATAGATTAACCAGGTTAATAACGATGCTGCAGTAACACAGCATACCTTTGCCCATCGTGGGTCTGGTTACAAAATGGGCATTAGTCTTGCGATATCACACTGGATGAAAGGCTACATGGCAAAGATATGGCTGCTTCATTATTTGTCCTCACCCAGAAACCAATTATAAAAATACATCCGTATATAACCGAATGTACACGTGGGGTTTGAACTGTACATGTGTTCGTTTGCAGGCGGCAGGGCTCTAACTCACAGAGGGACCTGGGTTTGATGCCCAAACTTGGGCCACTTTCTCCGTGTGGAATGTGAAGTGTGTTCTACCCCCCCCCCCCCGTTTATCTTGCATTGGTTTCCAAAATCAGAATAAATTATTTAGACTGGATGGAGAGGAATCCGATAAGCTATGAAGCTCTTCTTTCACAGATATGCAGTCGAGGCACAGGGTCAGCAAGTTACAACAACAAACAAAAGAAAATGAGTGCAAAGTGTAAAAATGTAAGCAAGTCACAAAATAACTGAGCATATAAGCACAAAGTACGTAAAATCCTGCCAGTTTTTCAACACTAAATACAAATTTAGGGGTTGTTACGGGAAGAAAGGCGGACAAACACAAGGGTGTTTGGACCCACACACGGGTGTCTACATCCACGTCCGCATCGGTTAACCCTGGGGGGGCATGGGGGCGTTGTGATCCCCCATAGCCCCACCCCTCGGAGAGGATTCTTATAAAAGGCGGGGAGCCAGAGGGCTCGAGGCCAGTGTGTGAGAAGCTTACCATTGAAGACTGAAGACCGGCAGAATAGGCCCTGGAACTCCCCTGGCTCGCTGTCCTTGTCAGGGCCGAGCAGGGCAAGTGGCGCGGCCCCAAGAGCTCCAGGACCGCTGCTCTTGTAAGAGCACGGCCTGGTTAGCTGGGTGCCGGGATCCGTGCTTGACCAGGGCCGGATCAGATAGCCTCCCCTAGCACATAGCGGAGGACTGGGAATAGGAGAAGTCAGGGGATAGTGCTAGGGGTGTTTCCCATTGAGTACGGGTGAAGGGGCCGTTACCCCTTCAAGTATTGTTACCGCCTTTTGGTTAAATAAAAGAGTGTGCCTCAACTACGTCGTCTGTCTCCCTGAGAACTCACTACACTTGTATAAGTGTAGTGTATCGTGTCGTGTATAGTGTAGTGTGTAGGTTAAACGTTGAGTTTTATAAGGGCACCACGGGGTGACCAGCCCCTCCCCACCCAGCCCCACCCCTCCCACCCCCCACCCAGCCCCACCCTCCCCACCCAGCCCCTCCCCTCCTCCCCCAGCCCCTCCCCACCCTCCCCTCCCTCAGCCCCTCCCCACCCTCCCATCTCCACCCAGCCCCACCCCTCCCACCCTCCCCTCCCCATATGCACGACAGACAAATAATTCCTGGTGGGCAGTGTGGAATCTGTTGTTCCTACCGGTATAACAGTGGGAAATATCTGAACCGGTCCTGGGCCTCCCCTTGATCGACTCAACCTCAAATGAGTACCTGATACAGTGGGTACACATCACCACGAGGGAGACAAATGCGTGGTGTTGGCTACCCACTCCCCTGTGTACTGTGCCCGTCCTCTGTAGGTCCTCACTAACACCACTTGCCTCAAAAATCTGTTAAGGCTATGAGGGGGATCTTTGTCTTTGTACAGTGGCATTGGCTACGTATAAACTGATACTTTGAACGGAGTTTATAATACAGCATGGCCTATGTGTAACGCATCATATACCGTGTACACAGCACCATGAAAGTGTGTGCCGTATAATACAGAGTATGTGTAACGGAGCATAGCCTGTGCACGTACTGCAGCGTTACTTTAAACTGAAACGTGGCATGGCCGTTATGTGTAGAACAGCATTTCTTGTGTATATGTAGTGGGTTCCCACGGAGACTGGAGACGTAGCTTAGAGGCAACACGGTTTATTTAAATCTTATAACAGAAGCCCCTTTTACTCCCACTACTTGGGGAGGTATTGCCTCCGGGCTAACGTGCCCTATCACCTGGGGCTACGGGCTCTGAGTCCTCCGACTAAGGGTGGCCTAGGGGAGGCTATGCTGTCCCGACCCAGCCAAGGTGCGGGTCTCGACCACTGGTCCGTGCTCGGCCCCGGCCCATAAAATGACGTCGGGTCCCAGGGTCCCAGGATCCTAGGGTCCCAGGGTCCCAGGGTCCCAGGGTCCTAGCCTAGCCGGTCTTCAGTCTTCGTCTTCAGAGCACTGCCTCGGGCTGTCCTGGGGTCCGTCTTTTATACCAACCTCGGGGACTCTCCACCCCCGGTACCGCCCCCTTTCTGGAACCTTCCAGGTGGCTCTGGAATAACCCCCCAACCCCTCACCTGGGGTCGGGGGGGAGAACTCGGCCTCTCAACGGTCCCGGTTCTCTCTCTAACTCAGGGTGGCACCCCCTGTCGACTCGTACCCGCAACTACAGGTAAGCATACAGTGTGGTGTGTGCTTTGCATTTCCGACGCTACATATACAGCAAGAAATACTCTACATAGAGAGAGCATTGCATCTGTGTGTGTGTACTGCATGACACACGGTGTACGGTGTGTAATGCACAATTATGGGCTGCTGCTGCTGCACCTGTTGACGTTGATGTCGGGGCAGGCAGAGTCCTCGCTCCGGGTCCCGGTGGCGTTGCTCCGGGGGAACGTGCAGAAGAAGGCGTTGGCCAGGAGGCAGGCGGCCTGCTCCTGAGACATCGTCAGCATCAAGCCGGTGTCCCGGCGGAGCAGCGGCAGGAGCTGGGGACACGTGCGGTGCACAGGGCGCAGCGACGTTACACGCGGCAACGGGTGGCACGGGGTTGCAGAGGAGCAACGGCGCAATGGTAACACCGATGCAGAGCACTGAGCCTGCAGCACTGGGATGTTGGGGTCTGGATCAAGGAGTTCTGAAATGCACGTAAACCAGATTATTGTTGTACAAGTGAGGTTAATGCTGCATCCCTGCAATTACTTGCTCATGCAACTGCTGGTGAAAGAACCTCCACTAGAGGGAGGTCTAGAGTGCCGATCCGGTGGGTATGTTTTGGCCAACTTTTCCACACTGACCATTCGTCTTGAAAGAGGTGGGAGTACTCGCCATTTAGCCCACTGCACGCGACCCACCGATGGACTGTGGGTGGACAAAAACAGGGAATTGTAAGAATCCTGGTCAATGTTTTCAAGGCCAGGCTGGGAGATCGAACCGCGACATTTGAAGTCAATCGTGACAACCATTCCACAGTCATGGCAGCAGGCCTTTTGCAGAAATCAAATAAAATATTGGAGAGGGCTTCACACAAGAAACAAGAAGATTTAGTGGTTTGGACGTGGCTCTCCAATGAGTACAGAGAGGGTACCACAAGTAGCGGTGCATACTCGGGCGCAAGGAAATAAAAGCAGAGACAAAGAATGAGATAGATCGATGTAATAAAGAATTGGCAGTGGTGCACCAAGCACGACCCCTTGCTGAGCGCTGCAGCAGCAGCCCCCACCCTCCACTTCTCACCCTGACGCCACACAACCCGTGGGTAGGCGATGCCCTCTGGTGGACAAGCCGCGGTACAGGCGGCAGCACGAGACGCCAGCAGCGTTGCGCTGCCAGGGTTACTCACCCGAACACCTCCGTACACTTGCACACACCTACACACACCTCTATACACTTACACACACATACACACACACCTCTATACACTTACACACACCTACACACACCTCTATACACCTCTATACACACACACACACCTACACACTTACAAAGACAAAGATCCCCCGTATAGCCTTAACAGACTGTAGAGGCAAGTGCTGTTAGCGAGCACCTATGAAGGCCGGAACGGTACACGAGGGGGTGGGTGGCCAGCACCACGCCCGACCGCCTTTGTCTCCCCAGTGGCGATTTTTACACACCGCACCAGGTACTCATTTAAGGCTGAGTCGATCTAGGGGAGGCCCAGGACCGGTTCAGATAATCGTCACTGGTGTTAGCTGTGAGCGGGAATCGAACCCGGGTTGCCAGGTTCATAGCGCAGCGTGCTAACCGCTACACTACCGCTCCCCACACACACACACCTCTACACACTTACACACCTACACACACACACCTATACAACAACAACCGCCATTCGCCACTAAGTGGCGGTGACGTCACCACGACGCTTATGCCAGGCCAAGTGCACCTTGAGGCCACGTGAAGTGTCGAACGCCCGCTGGCAGGAGGTCACGGGGCAGACCCAGCAGGTGCCACGGGTCGACTGACCGAGATGACTGGCTGATGCACCACCTGTGGCCCCCTACCGTACCAACTTGCTGTGCTTTAGCCACCCGGCGCTCCGCTCGTTGTTGTGAGCGTCGCTCCTCTGCCCTCCGTTGTTGTTGGAGGGCGACTGCCTCCAACTGCCCAGTAGCGTCCTTCACGAGCCTCCTCCACTGAGGCCGATCTTGACACTGCTGGTACCAGTCATCGGCAAGTCCACTCAGCTCCACGTCCTCCTGTACCACATCACTCCATCTCTTCTCTAGCCCGTGCCGCGCCCGTTTAGCCCCCTCGATTTTAGGCATGTGGTAGCTGGGCATACGTGCTACATGACCCAGCCAACACAGCCTTGCCTGCCGGAGGAGCTCACCGATGGGACTTTGCCCAGATCTTTCAAGGATTTGTGAGCTCCTCACACAATCCAGCCTGGTTAAACCCAGGATGGATTGTAGGCAGGCCAGCCTAAATGTTTCCAACCGACGAAGTGGCTCCATTAGGGGGGTCCACGTTTCCCAAGCGTAGAGAAGGGAGGGAATGACCGTGGCCGAGAAGACCTGAAGCTTCGTGCGGAGGTAGCTTCCACACAGCGTTACGCAACCGATGAAAAGAATGCCGCTCGACTGATTCGGAGTGAGACCTCTGCTGATAAACTGGAGCCGGTCATAAGCACACTGCCCAGGTATGGGAAACTCTCCACTCTCTCCACAACTGCCCCATCACCGATTGGGAGTTGTGGGGGTGGAGTGTCTGATGGTACAAAATACCCAGGCAGGTGCTTAGTTTTGGTGGGGCTGATGGTAAGGCCCCACCTCTTAGTGGCACGCTCCAGTTTCAGCAGCAGCGTCTCCAACTCCTCTTCTGAATGAGCAGCTATTACCAAATCATCAGCATACATAACGTGGTCGATCAGCCTCCCATTATATCTGTACCAAATGGAAATTCCCCCGGTACAGCTATTGAAGGCTTCACGAACTACGCAGTCGAAATAGATGTTAAATAATGTGGGAGCCTGAGGACATCCCTGTCGCACCACAAGGTGTACAGGGGAAGGCTCTGATTCCCGGCCACGTAGTTTTACCCGGGCCCGCTCACCATCATGAAGGTCCTTAATGATCGTGAGCAGAGGGTCAGGGACTCCGAAAGCACGAAGAACAACCCAGAGCCCAGGCCTACTGATGGTATCATAGGCCTTGACCAGGTCAATAAAGCAGAGATGAAGGTCTTGTTGGAATTCCCTACACCTCTGCTGTAGCAGACGGACAGAAAATATGGCATCTGTACAGGACCGCCCTTTCCTGAAACCGCATTGGGGTTCTGCAAGCCTCTCCTCAGCGTGCCTAGCAAGGCGATGTTGAATAATCCTTGCCAGAACCTTTCCCGGCACACTTAGGAGTGAGATGCCTCTGTAGTTGTTACAGTCTGTGCGGTCCCCCTTCTTAAAGAGGGGGACCACCAGGGCATCCTTCCAATCCTGCGGAACCCGTCCAGTGGTTCAGACTGTTGTTATGATGTCATATAGGGCAGTCTGTGCACAAACGCCACCCTCCCTCAGCATTTCGCTTGGGAGATCATCTCTGCCCGGTGCCTTTCCTGGTCTCAGACTCCGGATCGCCTTCAGTACTTCCTCAACAGATGGCACCTCAGCCAGCCACTCACAGGGGGTGACCTCCAATATTTGAGGCACCGCAGCCTCAGCAGGGTTATCCCCACTTTGTGCCATGATGTTTTCCTGGCTGAGAGATTTTCCCTCCCCCAGGACCTCACACACACCTCTATACACTTACACACACACCTCTATACACTTACATACACACCTCTATACACTTACACACACACATACACACACACCTATATACACTTACACACAGCTCTACACACCTACACACACCTACACACACCTCTATACACTTACACACTCCTACACACACACCTCTACACACTTACACACACCTACACACACACCTCTATACACTCACACACACCTACACACACACACTTCTATACACTCACACACACCTACACACACACCTCTAGACACTTACACACACCTACACACACACCTCTATACACACACCTCTATACACTCACAACCCCTACACACACCATCTATACCTCACACACACCTACACACACCCTCTAATACACTTCACACACACTGACCACACCTCTATACCACGTACACACACCTACACACACACCTCTATACACTACACACACACCTCTATACACCTAAACACCTACACACCACACCTCTAGACACGTACACACACACTACACACCACACCTCTATACCACTTACACACACACCCTCTAGACACTTCCACACACCACCGCTCTACACCTAAACACTCCCAACCTCTATACCCTTACTCCAAACCTACACACATGACCTCCGATACACGTCACACAACCTACCACACACCTCTATACATTACACCACACACCTCATAACCTAAAACACCTACACACACACCTCTATAACCGTACACACACCTACACACACACCTCTATACACTACACACACACAACTCTATACACCTAAACCACCTAACACTACACCACCTCTATACACCTAAACACCTACACGCAGGATGAGGTGTAGTGCGGGAACGAAAGGGCCTGGCTCGTGTGGCGAACGCGATCCGTGTGCTCCTCCGCAGCATGATGCTGTTTGTTGCGACTTGGTCGACCCGCACAGTTGGGGTGATGGAGGTGTTTGGTGCTTACCATGACCGCTATCACCACATGCACCACACCATCTATCCACCCACCCAGTGATACACACCACACACACCACACACCCCACTCACACCACACACACCACACACACCACTCACACCGCACACACCGCACACACCGCACACACCGCACACACACACACCACTCACACACTACACACACCACACACATCACACACACCACACACACCACACACACCACTCACACCACACACACACACCACCACACACCACTCACACCACACACACCACTCACACCACTCACACCACACACACCACACACACCACTCACCACACACACCACTCACACCACTCACACCACACACACACCACTCACACCACACACACCACTCACACTACACACACCACTCACACCACACACACCACACACACCACACACACCACTCACACCACTCACACCACACACACCACTCACACCACTCACACCACACACACCACACACACCACTCACACCACACACACCACTCACACCACTCATACCACTCATACCACACACACCACACACACCACACACACCACTCACACCACACACACCACACACACCACTCACACCACTCATACCACACACACCACACACACCACACACACCACACGGTTTCCCGGAAAGACGGTGCCACTGGGACCGCAGCCCGAGAAGGAAACTGAGCAGCAGATGCCAGGATTGGACTGGACAATGACTGCTGCCAACAGACTAACTCTGTTCAGAGATAGGATCAATCCAATGTATTATGTAATACTTATCATTGTTGTTTTTATTATTAACGTCATGACATGAACTTATGAGGAAACAATGTAACTTTGCATTGCTTGTGAGTGCTGCCTGGGTTTGTTAAATGTGCCTTGGCTCGTGTGCAGTGTCCCGGCTGTGTGTGCGGCGGTACAATGACAACTATGTCATGAGAGAAGTTTCAGGCAATGGCCCTTCTTCAGAACGTGTACAGGCAGTGATGGGAAAAGATAATCAGGCGATTCGTCTGACACATCCGCCCCCTGACTGCCCCACTGCCCCTCTGCCAAGCTGCTCCGCTGTCCTGCTGCCCCAATGCCCTCTGCCCCACTGCCCCTATGCTCCGCTGCTCCACTGGGCTGGTGCTACTCTGCCCTAATGCCCCGCTGTTCCATTGCCCCACTTTCCCACTGCCATCACATCCATCACGAAGCAGCGAGACGTCCACACCACCTCATTAAATATTACCCTGATGTGCACGCAGAGAGAGAGAGACCCTCGTTAAACATTAAATACTGGAGGGGGCTGCTGTGATGCAATGGCTCGTAAAATTCACTGGCAATAGAGAGATTGCTGGTTCCACCTTCTGGCACAGCAGTTGAAACAAATGGTCGAGTACTAATAGGGGTTTTCCCATTTTTTCTGGCAACAAAACTGACACCTTTTGCAAGGCATCATGTTTACATTAACCACAATACTTGCAGTCAAATGTTGCCAGAAAAAAGGGGAAAATCCCTATTAGTATATTTTGGTACTGGCAAAGGAGGTCCCAAAATGGTCGAGTATCTTACGTTCCCCTGCCTCTGTCCGCCAAACAGTACAACTGGGTACACCAAAATCGAGTGGCAAGTTGGGTGGGTAGGTGCTGGATGAATGAGTGCATCGGTGTGTGGGTAATTGGATGAGTTGGTACCTGGGTAAGTGGATGGTAGGTGGTTGAATGGGTGGATGGGTAATTGAATGAGTGGGTCGGTGTGTGAATGAGTGGGTGGCTGGGGGTGTGGGAGGTGGATGGATGAGTGGGTAATTCAGTGTGTAGATTGGTGGATGTGTGAATGTGTTAATGAGTAAGTTGGTGGTTGGTGAATGATTAGGTGGGTGGATGAGTGCGTGGGCGGGTCAGTGAGTTAGTTTAAATGAATGAGTGGTTGAATGGGTAATTAAATGAATGGGGAGGTGGATACATGATTTGGTGCTTGGGTGGGTCAGTGGGGAATTGAGCGAGCGGGGAATGAGAACGTGGGTGAGTGGATTTTTGAATGAGTGATTGGGTGAGTTCGTGAGTCTGTGTGTGAGGGGATAATTGAGTGGTTGGATGAGTGAATGGGTAAATTAGTGGATATTTGAGTGAGTGGTTGGATGGGTGAGTGGGTAAATGAGTGGGTGAATGAGTGGTGGGTGAATGGGGAGGTGATTGGGTGGGTGGGTGAGTGGGTGCGTGCGTGGGCGGTGGGTGAGTGGATGGGTGAGTTAGTAAGTGGGCGAGTGGGTGGGTGAGTGGGTGGATACGCGGGTGGGTGAGTTAGTAGGTGGGTAAGTTAGTAGGTGGTGAATGGATAGGTGAGTGGATGGGTGAGTGGGTGGGTGAGCGAGTGAATGAGTCGGTGAATCAATTGAATTAGTGGGTGAGTAGGTGACCGAGTGAGTACTTGAGTGGGTGAGTGGGTGGGTGAGTAGTTGAGTGGGTAATTGAATTAGTGGGTGAATACGTACGTGGGTAATTGGGTATTGAATGATTGAGTGATTGGGGAGTGGGTGAGGTGAGGAGGTGGCGTGAGTGGGTGAGGGGTGAGAGTGGGTGAGTGGGTGAGTGGGTGGGTGGGTGAGTGGGTGGGTAAATTAGTGGATGAATTGAGTGGGTGGGTGAGTGGGTGGGAGAGTGAGTGGGAAAGTGAGTGGGAGAGTGAGTGGGAGAGTGAGTGGGAGGAGTGAGTGGAGTGGGGTGAGTGGGTGGGAGGTGAGTGGGTGGGTGAGTGGGTGGGTGTGTGGTAGGTGGATGAATGAGTGGGTAATTCAGTGTGTAGATTGGTGTATGTGTGAATGTGTTAATGAGTAAGTGGGTGGTTAAGTTTGGTAAATGATTAGGTGGGTGGATGAGTGAGTGGGCGGGTCAGTGAGTTAGTTTAAATGAATGAGTGGTTGAATGAGTAATTTCAATGAATAGGGAGGTGGATACATGAATTTCGTGCTTGGGTGGGTCAGTGGGTAATTGAGCGAGTTGGGAATGAGAACGTGGGTGAGTGGAATTTTTAATGAGTGATTGGGTGAATGGGTGAGTTCTGGAGTCTGTGTGTGAGTGTATAATTGAGTGGTTGGATGGGTGAATGGGTAAATTAGTGTATATTTGAGTGAGTGGTTGGATGGGTGAGTGGGTTAATGAGTGGGTGAATGAGTGGTGGGTGAGTGGGGAGGTGATTGGGTGGGTGAGTGGGTTCGTGGGTGGGTGGGTGAGCGGATGGGTGGGGTTAGTAAATGGGCGATGTGGGGGGTCAGCGGGTGGGTGAGTTAGTAGGTGGGTGGGTAAGATAGTAGGTAGGTGGGTGAAGTGGATGGGTGAGTGGGTGGGTGAGCCGAGTGGAATGAGTCGGTGAAGCATTGAATGAGTGGGTGAGGTAGAGGACTGAGTGAGTACTTGAGTGGGTGGTGAGTGAGGGGTGAGTGGTCGTTGAGTGAGGGTGAGTGGGTATTTAGTGGAGTGGGGAATATGTCCGTGGGTAATTTTGCGTCCTTTGAATGATTCGGTGCATTGGGTGGGGGTACTGCAGACCAGACCATGGTTGGACCACTCCATCCCTTGATGCGCCTTGCTCGCCTATCGGGGCCACTCCCAACACGAGCTTGCCCTAAGTATGTAGAATGAGAATCAAAATCTGAATATGTAATCATATGGAGGAATCTAATTAGTACTAAATCTTTTTTTCAGAAGATGTCCCGTAGGGGCGGGTTTGAAACGTTCCAGCAACAAACAATCAAAAAAATACGATCGGAGTGCAAGGTATAGGAAAAGTAAACAAATCAGTAAAAAAGTTACTAAGCAATTTTTGTTATCTTATCAGGCAACATCCAATGAGGTATTAGCTTATATTTCAGAAGCCACTTGACCACAAT